CTTGTCATTGGGTAGGGGTTCGAGAGGAAGCCGTTGACCTGAACTATCCCTTGTGCGTCATTGTAGAGTATTCTCACCCATTTCCTGAAGATCGGGCCTACTCCCATTTTTTCCATGCTGGCCTGAAGGAAATCCCAGTTTTTTCAAAATCGAAGAAGAGAATCAAGGTTGCAGTCCGTTTTTGGCTAATTATCCTTGTGGATTCGCAGAGGGACATTACATTGTCTAGTATTAGTGTTCCTGGAATGAACCCTGTCTGGTCTAGGTGAAAGCATCCTCCTGTAATCCGGTTTATTCTGGTGGCTAGTAGTTTGGCCTGAATTTTGTATGCTACATTCAATAGTGAGATGGGTCTGTAATTCTTTATATCCTCTCGATTACCTTTTTTGTATAGAAGTCTTACCACTCCCGTGCTCAGGTCTGGGCCTAGCGATTCTTCCTCCCATGCTCTGGTGAGGAAACTAAGGAGGAGTGGACGAACCTGTCATCCAAAATTCTTTAGAAAGGTCGTCCCTGCCTGGAGCTTTATTAGGTTTGAGGTCCTTGAGGGCTGTGTAGAGGCCCTTGAGGGCTGTGTAAAGTTCTTCTAATGATATGGGTTCTTCTGATGATTTAGCAACAGAAGGATCGGTCTAGATGTGTTAAGAATTTTTCTCTTGCTCTTTTTGTCGCGTTGTTGCCGTCTACTGGGGTTTCAGAAGTATAGAGTTGTTTGTAAAAGGAGGTTGCTAGGTTGACTAGCTTTGTCGTTTTTGTACCTGGGTTTTCATTCTCATCTTGAAGACATTCTATTTTAGAGTTCCTGGAGTTAGCTTTAATCTTTTGGAAGAAGAATTTTGATATTTTTTCGTTCAGTTCCCAATCTTTTACTCTTGCCCTTAGTAGGTCATTGAGCTTTATTTTGATCCACTCGGTGAGTTCTTCCTTGGATTTGTCCAGTAGCTCTGCATAGAATGTTGAGTTTGGTTGTTTCTGCCGCTGTAATTCTGCTATTTCTATCGCGTTTATGAGGGTCGTTTCTCTTTCTTTTCTTTGTGACACTAGTTTTCTGGAGGCTTGTGCTGTTTTTTTTACTGATGTTCTTAACGATTTCAGGGAATCTAGTATACATGTCCTCATTTGGTTGTAGTTGTGTTTGTGTTGTTAGTAGTGTTTTCAGCTCGGATTGAAATGATACTGGTGAGGAGGGCGTTGTTGACGTAGTAAAAGCTTTTACCTGTGTATCATTCCTTAGTGAGTCTGAGGGAGGGGGATATGGCGCCGTGGTCCAAACCTTTGTGATCTTGGTTGGTGTGGATAGTGCAGCCCCGTATTGCCCCTGATAGAGAATCAGATGTGAGGGAGAAATCGATATGTGTGCTTGATCTGATTTCTTTCATAATGTCTTTTTTTGGCGATAAAATTGCAGTTTTCCTTTATCTTTTTCCCACTGTGCGAGAAGTTCTGTTTATATGAACTAACAAATGGCTTCTGAGGCTTCTTCCCCCTCCACCTTTACCCCCATCATGACATGAATGCAGCATTTCCACCAAAGCCCCCAGAGTACCGCGTTCCTTCCCAGGGAGAACAAGTTTGCGGTGAAGGTTCCTATGGGCAGTGCCATGTTCCAAGAAGGATTGCCTTCCAGTCCCATGGCCAGTCCAGTTCCATTCCCAGCTGTCTCACAATTCAATCCCACCAACGCCATGTGAGCACCGCATCCAGATATTGCAGAAATGCGTGGTCCAGAGTTTCCTTGATCTTACGGCCGGGATAGCCTTTCTTGCAGGCTCTGTACCAGGGGGTCAAGCCCTTCTCGTCAGTGTTCCAGGTAAGACTGGTTTATGAGCCAGTCGTTTGTGGGCAGGCATCTGTGCTCAATCTTCCATTGTAATGAGGCAAATTTGGCTGGCCGCGTCTTCGCTCCCCAGAACCATGCTGTTTGTCTGAGGCTGGCCCTGCTAATGTTCAGATGCCTCACCCGTCTGCCCTCAGCTATTTCTTTTACATTAACCTTTTTGACGCATGCCCAATGGGACAATGCGTAGGGAGCCAAGGATCCGCAATGTGATGAAAAGGACTGAAATGGACAATGCAAGGTCAGCGTAGCATCAACAAGCAATGTACATTCCGATACATACAAGATGGCACAAAGTGGCGCAGTGGAAGACTTAAAAGAGAAGATCTGATCTGATCTGGACTGACCCGACATCCATCATGCATCACACATGTGAGAAGGGAGGAGGGACCGCAATCACAGAAAAAAGGTCCCTCCTTCGCACACATACATGGGGAGATACCACGGATGAGAGATGGGGGAAAGAGACAAGACGAAGGAGAGGAGGCGAAGGAGTAGACCAGGATCGCAATAGCGAAGTCCCAAAAATAGTTCCTTGCCGAGTGTCCAATCAATGTCTGTCCCAGAATGTCGAATCAGATCCTGGGCAATGTGCCCAACCTAACCTCTGCCGGAATTCCCTACCGCTGATCTCTCTCTCTCGTAGATGAAGAAGAAGGTAAGAAAGAGGAAGAAGAAGGAGAAAGGAGAGAGAGAGATGGAGGAGGAAGAAGAAGGGGGATGACATCCTCCTTGCTATCTCACCTGCAGGTAGCTGTCACCGTACTGACTGTGGTCGTAGTTGTGTGCAGGTACCGCGCGGAGCCCAGCTATGGCGCCAGGTAAGTTCGTCGCTTGCGGGTAAGGCCTCCGCCCTCTCTACTACCTACTCCGCTACTCCCTACTCCGTAGCTTGGGACAGAATAACGCTGCTTCAACCAGCAGCGTGTCGCTCCAGAAGTGAGCTACCTGAACTCCCCGTTGTCCAGCCGCTGCCCAGCTATTTGTAGCGCTGGTCGTGCTGGGCCTACCTGCTGCTGGCCTCAGAAACGGCCCAGCTGGTCCAGGTCCCTACTGGACGTCCAGACCATGCTGCTGATGCAGCATGGCGCAGAAATGCGCCTGGCCTAAAAATGGCCTGGTACCTGTGCACCTAGCCCAACGCGTCGCCTTGGGACCTGCAGGACCGAAACGACGCATGCACCTACCGGTCTGGCGCCAAAATGCGCCTGGCCTCGTTTCGGGCCTGCCTCCGGTGTACCCAGTCCCAAGGTCCGGCCTTGGGGCTGCAAGTCCGAAACGGCACCTGGACAGACAAAGTGAGACAGCACACACATACAAAAAGGTAAGTAAAACTACCCCTATCTAACTAGTGTGCTACCTAGGGCCTGAAGGGCCGCCGTGGGCCTCCAGGGCGCGTGCTGTATGGTACGCAGCCTGGGGGGCCCTCAGCATCCGTCGGGCCCCTCAAATGGGGCCCGTGTGCAGGCGCAGCATGCAACACTTTTGGTCTGAGGATTCTGTGAGTGGACTTGACCTCTACGTCGCACAGCTCGCATGTTTTTTGCGATTTTCCATTCCTTTAGCACCAGTGAACAGGTTCTAGGGGTAGGTCCGATATGGAGAGTTCTGGCCTGTAGGTAATCCACTCGCTCTTGGGTGAATCGGAAGACCAAATTGTTTTTGTTCCTTCGGAATATATCGAGTAGCACTTCCTCTGATCTGACTTCCACTATCCTGCCAATTCTCTGTTCATTCCCCTTGGTCGCCACCCAATCTGACTCCTCCAAGGTGGGGCCTTTTCGAAGGGTGACCAGCCATGCCAAGGGGATGGAGAATAGCAGGGTTTCCAGGTCCTCAGCAATTTTGTGTATGAATGGTAGTTCAGTTTATAAGTGCTGTTCAGATTTCCATTCTTTCCAGTGTTGATACCATAGGTCTTTTATCCTTGTCACCCCATTCTTTACACAGCCTTTCCATGAAGAGCCAGAGCGCCTGGAAGATTGTCCGTGGTGTCAGTAATCCACCTATTGCCAAACATACTCACGCTGGCACTTTGCTAAATGTATCTGACTGGGATGCATCTCTCATTATCACATCCAGAGCTCATTAGAAAAGGTTCTCGTGTGAGACCATCCATGTAAATACGGTAAAAGCAGGATGGAAGCTGAGGCCAGAACTCTCTGGAACCACGAATCAAGTGAGGAAGAAAAATGACATAAGGTTGGTCAAGGAGCAATGCATCGATCCACACAAAAAATGGCAGACATTGAGGATGACGGCAAGTTGGTCGGGAAAAATTGGCTTGCAAAAGGAAGGCAGTGGAGTCTAAGACCTGTGGAGTGCTGCTTTAGTCTGCCCTCAACGAATTGCTCGAATACGGTGATGGTGCCTGGCCCCATCTCCTGAGCCCCTACGCACACCTAGCACCCCACACATTTACCACCCACCACCCTTTCCCTAGTTCGCCTTCCCTCCCCGAGCTTGGAACCCCCCACACCCTGCACCTCTCTCCCACACCCCCCGTGTCACTTTGCTTCCCACTCCCTCCCACTACACTCCCTACCCCTCCCTGCGAGAGTCAGACACGTGAATGTTAAACAAAGACAAGAACTACAGCAGAGGACCAGGAGAGGGGACAGCAGCAAACAGTCGAGCTACAGTGTGTGGCCTCTGCTTCACAAAGGGCATAGTCAGACAGTGTGACTCCTCCCTATGGAACAGGCGTCCGGGGAGGAAGGGGCACAAAGCTGATGAGTCGAGCATACACCTGAGTCGTCGATCCCCTCATATGAATGAGGGTAATCAATGCGGCCCAAGGCAGGCAAATAAGCTGGTCTCTTTGAGTGATATAACTATGGGAAGCTGGGCCTGGTTCCCGGCACATGCTGCTCCCCACGAATAGAAATGGAGCAATCCACCTCGAGGCCCTTTCACCGGGCATGGGCTCATACCCCAGCTTGAGAACGAAGGACCTTCTCTGATGTTTTCTAAGCCCACCCCGACACAGATGCAGCACCCCACTAGACCACAGCCTTAGGACTGCGGATAAAACTATGGGATAGCTACACAACCCTATGCAATAGTGTCCCAAAACTATTTTATGATCACCAGAAAAATGGGATGGCTACTCATAACAGTAAGATGGTTATCCTATTCGTTTGATGCAAACAAGACACATTACCTCCACATTTCTTCCATAAGCTGGCATTTCTGCAGCCTTAGATTCCGCACTCATTGCAAACTCACTAAATCCTCTGCTGTTCCTGTTTGTTCTGCACCACAACAAGATCCCAACAATAGTCCTCATAAGGGCTTAGGAAAAAAGATGGTCCCCAGCATCTCTCTCTCTCTCTCTCTCTCTCTCTCTCTCTCTCTCTCTCTCTCTCTCTCTCTCTCTCACACACACACACACACACCTGTCTCTTATACATTCCGATACATACAAGATGGCACAAAGTGGCGCAGTGGAAGACTTAAAAGAGAAGATCTGATCTGATCTGGACTGACCCGACATCCATCATGCATCACACATGTGAGAAGGGAGGAGGGACCGCAATCACAGAAAAAAGGTCCCTCCTTCGCACACATACATGGGGAGATACCACGGATGAGAGATGGGGGAAAGAGACAAGACGAAGGAGAGGAGGCGAAGGAGTAGACCAGGATCGCAATAGCGAAGTCCCAAAAATAGTTCCTTGCCGAGTGTCCAATCAATGTCTGTCCCAGAATGTCGAATCAGATCCTGGGCAATGTGCCCAACCTAACCTCTGCCGGAATTCCCTACCGCTGATCTCTCTCTCTCGTAGATGAAGAAGAAGGTAAGAAAGAGGAAGAAGAAGGAGAAAGGAGAGAGAGAGATGGAGGAGGAAGAAGAAGGGGGATGACATCCTCCTTGCTATCTCACCTGCAGGTAGCTGTCACCGTACTGACTGTGGTCGTAGTTGTGTGCAGGTACCGCGCGGAGCCCAGCTATGGCGCCAGGTAAGTTCGTCGCTTGCGGGTAAGGCCTCCGCCCTCTCTACTACCTACTCCGCTACTCCCTACTCCGTAGCTTGGGACAGAATAACGCTGCTTCAACCAGCAGCGTGTCGCTCCAGAAGTGAGCTACCTGAACTCCCCGTTGTCCAGCCGCTGCCCAGCTATTTGTAGCGCTGGTCGTGCTGGGCCTACCTGCTGCTGGCCTCAGAAACGGCCCAGCTGGTCCAGGTCCCTACTGGACGTCCAGACCATGCTGCTGATGCAGCATGGCGCAGAAATGCGCCTGGCCTAAAAATGGCCTGGTACCTGTGCACCTAGCCCAACGCGTCGCCTTGGGACCTGCAGGACCGAAACGACGCATGCACCTACCGGTCTGGCGCCAAAATGCGCC